AGGGACAGCGACACCCTGGAACTTCTCAGTGTGGCAGTGGAGGGGAAACTGATGTCTAAAAAAAGTCTAGGCCAGACACCATGGCTTTTATCTGTAAAGCTAACACTTATGAGACTGAGGCAGGAGAATCACCATGAGTTTCAGGTTAGCCTGTGCTACATAATAACCTGTCTCTACAGAACCTGTCTCAAAACAGCAACAAAAATCTACCATAAAAAATTACACTGATGGCTCAGTGGGTAAAGGGGCTTGCTGCCAGGCCTGAGGATGTGAGATCAATCCTTCTGGCCCGCACAGTGGGTCCTGCAAATTGTCCGCTGACTTGACCTACATGGGCATGCTTTGGCACACACCCAGTGTCCTGGTCACTGTTCTGTTGCTGTGAAGAGACACCATGACCAAAACAACTCTTATATAAAAGAAAGCATTTAATTGGAGGCTTGCTTATAGCTTCAGGGGTATGTCTACTATCACCATGGTGGGAGCATGGCGGTAGGTGCTGGGTAGGTGGCTAAGCAATCATCCTGGCCCATAGGCATGGAATGAGAGACCTCAAAGCCCACACCCTCCAGCAAGGCCACACCCCTAATCCTTATTATCCTTTCGGACAGCATTCAAGTATATGAGCCTATGGGGGCCATTCTTACTCAAACCACCACACTTAGCCACACACACATGGCTCACAAACAATGCCCCTAAAAATATGTAAAAATAATTTAACATTTTTGTTTGGAGTTAGGGAGATGACTCAGTGGGTAAAGCATCTACCACAAAAGTTTTGAGATCTGAGTTCAAATCCCACATATCCACATAAAGCAAGACACAGTCGCAGAAGCCTGCCATCCCCGCACTCTGAGGGAGACGGGTGTGGAGACAGGAGACCTAGGCCAGCCTGGCTCCTGCAGCAGTCAGTGAGAAACCTGCCTCAAAGTGCCCTTTAACTTCCTTGTGCACACCATAGCACATGTACACACACACACACACAGTGCACACACACAAATACAAAAATTTAAAAATATTTATAAAAAAGCATCTGTGTAATAGCCAGCTAAGGCAGTTCACAGCCGAGCAGGCAGGAGGAAGATGAGGATGATTAGGAATTGAAGGTCATATTTGACTGCATAGAAGCTTCCAGACCAGTCTGGGATACATGAGACTCTCTCTCAACAGAACACATTGTGGCCAAAGCGATGGCTTAGCAGTTAAGAGTCCATTCTGGTATTGTAGAGGACCTGGGTTCAGTTCCCAGCATCCGTGTGAGGTGGCTCACAAACACCTGTAACTCCAGCTCAGGCACCCTTCGCTGGCTTCCACGAGCACCTGCAATCAGGTGCACACACATAATTAAAAGCAATAGATCTTTAGCAACAGCAGTGGCCTGCAGAGATGGCTCAGCAGTTAAGGGCATTGGTTGCTCCTCCGAGGTCTCATGTGTTATTCCCAGCACCCACATGGAAGCCCACAACTGCCCTTAACTCTAGCTCCAGGGTCCCACACCCTCTTCTGGCATCTCTGTATGGCATTCATGTGCATAAACCACACACACACACAACTAAAACAATAATAAAAATCAAAATCTTAGAGCCAGGTGTGGTGGCGCATGCCTCTAATCCCAGCACTCTGGAGGCAGAGGCAGGCAGATATCTGGGGCTTCAAGGCCAGTCTGGTCTACAAAGCAAGTTCCAGGCCAGTCAGGGTTACACAAAGAGACCCAGTTTCTAAAAAACAAAACCAGAAAAGCCTAAATCTCTAGGAAAATAAAACAAAAGGAATACACGTATATATATATATATCACATATATATGTTGTATATATACATATGTATGTATGATAAAGGTTTATTGGTTTTGACCATTGTGTTGGGTTTTGTGTGCCCCCCTTAGGTCTTGTACCTGAGAGGCTGTCTTGCACAGCTCACCTGAGTCACCCTGAAATGGCTCAGCGTTTAGGGGGATTCCTTGTACCCTGGGGATAAATAAATTGTGTGTTTCAGTTTTCTGAGCCTGTGAAAATATATCCAAGATATACAATCCAAAGATAAGATACATTTAAGAAATGTTTATTTTTATTTATTTATTGTATCAGGTTTGGTGGCAAGCACCTTTACCCAATCAGCTGTCTTGATGACCTGAAAAATTCAACTTAGTTTTGTTGGGTTTTTGCATTGAGGGGGGGCATTGCTCACCTCCATGCTTTCTTTAGTCACTCTGTAGACCAGGATAGCCTCAAAGTCAGAGATCTGCCTGCTTCTGCCTCCCGAGTGCTGGGACTAAAGGTGTGCTCCACCCCACCTGGCCCCTTGCTTTTGGGTCTACAGTAGGCAGCATGTGGTGGAGCCAGCAGCCCACCTGATGGTGGCCCAGAAACAGAGAGGAAGAAGAGACCAGTGTCCTTCAGTGCCCTCCAAAGACATGTCCCTGTAACCTGACTTGCGGAGCATCCTGGAAAAAGAGCCCTCTTTTATTTTGGATTTTGGTTTTCTGAGAGAAAAATTCTGATTGTCTGCGGCAGAGGCCAGCCTCAGACAATAGCAGGCTCCTGTGGCAGCTTTCTGAGTGCTGGCATTAGCAGAGTATGTCACCACACCCAGATGGAAGGTTTGTACGTAGCCTTTGAGGTACATTTCACATCCATACTATAACGGTATGTGTACTTCCTCCCAGGGTCTGGGCAGGCTCATAAAAGAAGCAAAGGGTTCAAGGATTCGAATACCTCTCTATAAGGCTGATACCTGCCTCGAGTCCCCCAGTCAGGGGCTGGGGGCGTGGCTCAGTGGTAGAGCACCTGCCTCCTATGTAGAAGACAGAGGTTCCACCCACAGTACTCCTCAACCCCTCATACATCCTGAAATAGTAGACAACATAAATCCCTGTGTTAATAATTCTATGAGCTAGAGAGGAAATGTCACCCTCCTGTTGGGGACAGTTTGTTCTGTTGTCTGAGAACTTTCAGACACAGCCTGTGTTCCATGATATGCATGCAATACGGTCACAGTCATATATGACAGTGTAAGGTGGGGCAGAAATTCTCCCCCCTTGCCGCTGCTTGGCACCTCCTGTTAGAGGTCTTCCTCAAAGCACATAGGTTGTTAACATCCAGAAAAGCCGATTTTTTCTTAGTTGTTTTTTTATTTTTTCCAGACAGCGTCTTACCCTGCAGTCTGGCTTTCCTGAAACTCGACTGTGTATCCCAGGGTGGCCTCAAACTCCTAATCATCCTGCCTCGGCTTTTGAGTCCTGGCAGGACAACTATTATATGAGAACTGTTTAGCTGGGTGTGGTGGCCTTTAGTCCCAGCACTCAGGAGGCAGAGGCAGGGGGAGTCTCTGTCTAGTCTACATAGTAATTCCAGGACAGCCAGAGCTACATAGATTCTGCCTCAAAACAGACACCAAACAAATAGAAAAAACATCTTTAAAAAATTTGTGTGATCATGATGGTTAAGTCTTGCTGTGAACCTGACTGGCTGTGGGTTGCCTAGGAGACACTCCGCTGTGTGTCTGTGAGGCCTGTTTCCAGGGACCTGGCTTGGATAAAAAGACTGAGAAATAAAGTTGTATATTTGTCCTCCTGTCTACTCATCTGCTCAAACGTGAGCCGCTGCCCAGAGGAGGGGCTGTAAAGATGCTTTCTGCTGGATGGTGGTGGAGGACCCATGAAAAATAAACTTCACCTTCCTTGAGAAGCTGCTTAGCTGAAACTTGAAAGATTTGTGAGCCCCTCCAGGGTTGGAGAACCCACACACCACTGCTGGGGAGGAGACCCTGCTCAGGAAGCTGCAGGGTGTCAGGTCAGCTTGGTGCCTCCTGGTGTCATTAGCATCCACGTTCTAAAGAGGCCTTGCTTCCACACTGGGTGCCGAGGGCCAGGGGTCTGGGAGAATGACTGCTCAGAACAGCGCACAGGCCTTCCCTGCTCCAAACGAACACCCAGGGGAGCGTTTTCCAGGGTCAGCCTCAGGGGTACACCCAGTTGCCGCTGATCATCCTGAGCGGAAGCAGCATCCATGTGGTACTGGTTTTACCGGCATTTGACTGGTCTTATGGGATCCAAGTCGGTTATGGGAGCTGGCTGTGGGAGCTTCCCCCAGGGTTCCAGAAGGTCAGGCAATATATAAGGACAGGCCAGATCCTAGAAGGCCTTGGAGGGGCCGTTGTGGGAAGATGTAGAGATAAAACCTGTACTGCAATGAAGACCCCAGGAGTTCAGATTTTCAATCACGTGCCTGCGACAGTGTGAGCGTGGAAATCCGAGGAGAACCTGCCTAGTCAGTTCCCGCCTTCAGTTCCCGCTTTCCGCGTCAGTTCCCGCCATCCGCCAGCCAAGTCCCAGGGATCTAAGAGGGCTTATCCGGCTTCAAATGCCTTCGTCCATTGAGCCATCTTGCTGGCTCCAGACCCCAGGATTTTTAAAATGCCAGGACCATGAGATGTTTATCAAAGAAAGACCTAGGCAGGGAGAGGACCTGGCCCTGTGTGCGGCAGGTGGGCTGTGGGTTCCCACATTTGTGGGTGCCAAGAGTTCCATCTGCTTCTGAACAATGTTGGAATTGTGTAGACTTTGAGGGACTGGAGAGAGGGCTCAATGTGTAGAGGCGCTTGCTGTCAAGCCTGACTACCTGACTTTGATCCTGGACAACCGTACGGTGGGGGGAGAAACAACAAGTCTTAGGAATTGTCCTCTAAGATCCACATATGCACTGTGGCAGTGTGCACTGCACTACCCCCCAAATAAAATAAACACAATTATGTTGAGCATATTCAGAGATAGACCAAATGCACCTTGTGATGTGGGAGTCCTCTCTGTATGCTATGAATATCATTGGTTAATAAAAGAACTGCTTTGGGCCTATAGCAGAGCTATAGGAGACAGAGCTAGGCGGGGAAAACAAAACAGAATGCTGGGAGAAAGAAGGGCAGAGTCAGAGAGAAGTCATGGAGCCACCACCACAGATAGACGCTGGGAACTTTACCCAGTAAGCCAAAGCCACTGCCTCGTGGCAATACACAGAGTAATGGATATGGGTTAAATTAAGATGTAAGAGTTAGCCAATAAGAAGTTAGAGCTAATGGGCCAAGCAGTGATTTAAATAATATAATTTATGTGTGATTATTTCGGGGCTAAGCAACCAGGAATGAAACAAGCAGGCTCCCCCCAACAACCTTGCATTATGAGATGGCCAAGAGGCCCTAAGGACTGGGCAGGCTGATGTGATGCAGGTGGCACATGTGCCGAGTTGGTAAGGGGTGGACTGGACATGGGTCAGCTTCACTCCCAGTGTGACTGAGAGTCTGTGAGGGCATTTCCAGAGAGCTTTCGCTGAGGAAGGACGATCCACCCTGAACAGGGGTGGAGCCATGCTACCAACCAGAGTTCTAGAATGAACTTCAAACAACAACGCCAAGTTTCTGCCTGGCTGTGAGCCAAGGCCAAAACCTCCTCCTTCCGCCATGATGGACAGGAACCATAAACCCTGACCCCAAAGAAACCCACCCCACTTAAATTGCTGTGTCCAGTGTTTGCTCACAGCAAGGAAATAACGGGAACAGCCCGCAGCCTGCAGTAGGGCTTAGGGAGCAAAGTTGTCTGTGTGAGATGTTTCCATCCACAGTGCCGTGGGAGCCGGGGGCCACGCTCCATCCACACACCCCCCCCCGTGAGGGTCAGGGGTCATGTTCCATCCATACCCCCTGAGGGTGGGGGGCTACGCTCCATCCACACCCCTTGTGGGAGCCGGGGGCTACTCTCCATCCACACCCCCGTGGGAGCCGGGGGTCATGCTCCATCCACACACACACCCCATGAGAGCCGGGGGTCACGCTCCATTCACACCCTCCGTGGGCTGGGGGGTCATACTCTGACACACAGCAGTAGGAGCCTCTTACAGCTTCCACCCTGTGTACCTACCATCCACCAGCCTGGAGCACATTGCTCAGTAACTGAATCTCCCTCAGACTGTTGCAATGAACACAGGAATTTTATTTTTGTTTCGTTTTTGAGACAATGTCTTGCTATGTAGACCAGGCTGGCCTCAAACTCACACAGATCCTCTGATCCTGCTCTGCCTCCCAACAGCTGGGATTAAACACCTCTGTGACCAAGCCCCAGATACTGGAATTTTAGGCCAGAAGCTGTACATCAACTTTCCCTGTCAGGACGAGAGGCGTGGGGAGGGAGCCAGGGAGAGGCAAAATGGTAACATTTTCCCCTTCAAGGGCTCTCTGCTCAAGCTAAGTCCTTCAGTTAAGGGGAGACGGTGAGAGACTTCCTAACTAGCAATGGCCAACAGTCACACTTCAGTGTTGGAAAAGAATATGTGGTACAGTCAATAATGGAATAACATGCAGCCAGAGAGAAGGCCATTGTGTTCCATGAAATCAGATGCAGGATGGCAGTGCCGCATTCCCTCGCTCATACACAGGAATTAGAAGGACGTGGAATTGTGAGGACCAGCGTGGGACGGAGCTGAAGGTGGATAAAGAGGCTGTTTGATGAGTGTGTGCTGCAGTCAAGATGAACTATCTCATGGGCCCCTACTAATATGTACAGTTAATACAGGTTAATAAAAATAAAATATTATTTTAAAAATCTAAAGTTATTGCTCAATGCACCTGAGTACATATTTTCAAGCTATAGCTTAAAATATACCAAATTTCTTCCTCCTCCTCCTTTTTCTCCTCCTCTTCTTCTTCTTGTGTGTATGTGTAGGAGGTCCTTCTTTTTGTGTGCTGCTTTCATTGGTTAATGAATAAAGAAACTGCCTTGGCCTAGTTGATAGGGCAGAACTTCGGTAGGCGGGAAGACAGACTGAATGCTGGGAGGAAGAAAGCGAAGTAAAGGAGAGACACCATGGAGCCAACAGAATCAGACATGCCGAATCTTTCCTGGTAAGCTACTGCCACGTGGCAATACATAGATTAGTAGAAATGGGCTAAATCAAGGTGTAAGAGATAGCCAATAAGATGTTAGAGCTAATAGGCCAAGCAGTGATTTAATGAACACAGTTTCTGTGTGGTTATTTCGGGTGTAAGCTAGCTAGGCTGCAGGGACAAACAGGTGGGCCCTCACCCTGCAACAGGGTGTGATTACTATGGTGAAGTGTGGGTTCAGCAAGCAACTCTTGTGAAGTCGGGTCTCTTCTTCCACCCTGTGGGTCCTAGAGATTGAACTCAGGGTTGAGTACTAAGTGCTGTTATTCACCAAGTCAGCTCATTGACCCATAAGGTTTTTCTATTATTATTATTATTATAATTTTCCTTTTATTTGCACTGGTGTTTTATCTGCATGTATGTGTGAGGGTGTGAGATCTTGGAATTACAGACATTTGTTAGCTGCCATGTAGATGCTGGGAATTGAACCCAGGTCCTCTGGAAGAGCAGTCAGTGATCTTAACCACTGAGCCATCTCTCCAGCCCCTATTATTATTATTATTATTATTTTTTGAGACAAGTTTTCTCTGTGTAGCTTTGGAGCCTGTCCTGGAACTCTCCATGTAGACCAGGCTGGCCTTGAACTCACAGATCCACCTGCCTCTGCATCCCAAGTGCTGGGAATAAAGGAGAATGTCACCATTGCCTGGCGGCCCATAAGTTTTTTAAAGATTGATAAGTTTTTTAAAGGGCCCACTTGTTTGTCCCTGCAGCCCAGCTAGCTTATTTGTAAGTGTGTGTGTTTGTATGCGTGCAGGTATCTGCAAAAGACTAAGGTTACTGAATTCCCCTGAGGCTGGTTGTGAGCTACCTGGTGTGGGTGTTAAGAATCAAACTTGGGTCCTCTGCTGGAGCAGCATGAAGCTTAACTGCTGAGCCATCTCTCCAGTCCGCTGTTTATTTATTTATTTAAAGATGTATTTATTATATATACAGTGTTCTGCCTGCATGTGTACTTGCAGACCAGGAGAGGTCACCAGATCTCATTATAGTTGGTTGTCAGCCATTATGTGGTTGCTGGGAAGTGAACACAGGACCTCTAGAAGAGCAGCTAGTGCTCTTAACCTCTGAGCCATCTCTCCAGCCCTATTTATTTATTTATTTATTTATTTATTTATTTATTTATTTATTCATTTATTTATTTAAATTTTGTCACTAACATTTTCAGAGCTGCCATAGCGTGCATTTTGGAACCCTCGTTTGGGAAATAACTGAAGGAGTTATCTTCAATGGCCTCATTTTGAAGCTGGAGCTCAGCATCAGGGACAGGCCAGAAGCGTGGCTCTCGGTCTAGCACTTGCCTAGCAAGCCCTGGTTCCATCTCCAGCACCAAGAAACTTGCTCTGTCTGTCTAGAGTCCTATGCAGTGAGGAAAGCTCTCCTTAAGACATGACTGCAGCAAGGGCCCAGGCACAAGCCCGGCTCAGTAGATGGCTGTGGGCATAGGGAGAGCCACTTCGAGGCAGGCGGTCTGGAGCAAAGCAGGGAGATGTTAGCGTGTTCTGATGTGTCAGGGAGCTGGGCATGGCTATGACTGTGGTCCTGCAGGATCGAGAGTTCAACAGCACACATGGAGTTTGAGGCCAGTTTGGGCATCATAAGACTGTGTATGTGTGTGTATACACATGTGTGTGCATGTTTATTTGTGGAGGCCTGAGGTCGAGTCAGGAATCATCCTTGATTCTTCTTCCACCTTATTCCTTGAGGCAGGATCTCTTTATCAAACCGAGGGCTTGCAGGTGTGTCTCGCTCAGCTAGCCAGAACGCTCATGATCCTCTGTGACCTAGTTAGCTTTAACTGTCAACTTCACACAATCTAGAGTCACATGACAAGCGAGGACCGCTCCATCAGGCTGGTATGGGTGTGACCGTGGGGGGTTGTCTTGACTGTGAACCGGTGCAGGAGGGAACCCGTTGTGGAAGGCGCCATTCCCTGGGCTGGTGGTTCTGGGGCTGTATGAGCGGATAACAATCCGGAGAAAGCCAGAAAAGCAGCCCAGCCCATGCTTCCTGCTTGTGGTGGTTTAAATGAGAATGGCTCCAGAAGGCACATATATTCAAATGTTTGGCCACCAGGGAGTAGAACGGTTTGAAAGGATTATAAGGGTTAGGTGTGGCCTTGTTGGAGGATGTATATCATGGGGTAGGCTTTGAAGTTTTCAAAAGTCCATGCTAAGCCCAGTCTGTCTGTCTGTCTGTCTGTCTGTCTGTCTCTCTCTCTCTCTCTCTCTCTCTCTCTCTTTCTCTCTCTCTCTGCATGTCTGCAGATCATGATATATCTCTCAGCTACTTCACCAACACTATGCCTGCCATGCCTGCTGCCACGCTCCCTGCCATTGATGATAACGGACTAAGCCTCTGGACTGTAAACTACTCCAATTAAATGCTCCTTTGTAAATGAGTTGCCTCTCACAGCAAGAGAACAGTGCCTGGGACACTGCCGAGTGAGTCTCTTGGTCGGAGGTCATGCTGTGTGCAATAGCCAACAGCCCTGGTGGCCTGAGAGTGGAAGCCAAAGGACCCCTTGCCTCCATAGGTCACTTTGGTCAGAGCGTTTTTTGTCACAGCAGCCTGTGAAATGAGAACAGCCTGTCTCCACATTCTGGGGCGAGTCCTGCAGGCCGGTGACAGTGTCCACCTGGCATGGTCCTGGGTTCTGAGGTTCAAACTCTAGCGCTCACAGGGGGACTGCAGGTGCTTTAAGCCCCGAGCCTCAAGTAGATTTCTTTCTTTTTCTATTTTCTTTTCCTCCCTGCCCCCTTTTCTACAGAATCTCTCTCTCCTGTCTGTCTTGGAACTTACTCTGTAGACCAGGCTGGCCTCCGCCTCCTGGTGCTGGGATTAAAGGCTAAGTCATCAAGCAGCTGGAGTAGATTTTGTACAATCCATTTTACGTCACTGTCAGGGCAGGAGCTACACACTGGCTAACTGTGATCACGTGTGCCAGTCACAAGTTCAAATGGGCAAGCGTGTATATGGAATGACAGCCCAGACCTCTGGCTTCACACAGGGAAGGGAAAGGCTGAGACACAGGCTGGCTTTGCCATGTGGATTCTGGACCACAGCTGGATGCCCACTGCCTTCCAAGACAGGACAGTGCCCACCACATCCCTGCAGTCTGTCACTCTGCCACACAGGGTTGCCCTCCAGTGGGTCACCTGTGGTTCCCACAGTGATTGCAGATCCTCCCAGAGCCAGTGATTGGCTCAACAATAAGAGTTGTGCCTACTGGAACCAACAGAGGCAGAACCAAGGCTTTGATCCAGGTTCTTGGAGCAGTGTGGGAGATGAGGGCTGCTAACCTGAGGGGAGCAGGTTTGAAAACCCAACAGAAAAAGAGGCAGGAAAATGGAAGATGCTTGAGGGAGACCTGGGGTCTGCATGGCACCAGGAGAGCTGGACAGTTTGTTCTATCAGATGAGCCGAGGCCTAGCCTCCCAAGGCCTTCACAGTATCAGGCAGACCTGGGAGCGCTTATTTGACTTCAATTCCTTTCCTTCTGCGGCCACTGACCCTGTGTCCTGAGAGGCCTCTGCGGCAGTCAGCTGCTCTTTCCTTTGCCTCTTGACTAACCACACTGCCCTCTTGAAGTTCTTGAGAGGCTCTTGCTGGGAGGCTCTGGCTGATGGGCACTGGAAATGTTCTCTGATGAGATAGCCATGGCTTGTGGGGGCCATGAAGCCACTGGAGGTGGGGATGATTCGGCTGATGACAGCGTGGACAAACTGGACAGCCAGCAGGGTGCCTGTGATGGGGAAAGGACCGCTTACGAGAAAGCTGGGGCACAGAGGTCTGCAGACACAGGACATGAGTTTGATCCCAGCACACATGGAAAAGCTGAGTGTGGTGGTGCACGCTGGCAAGCCCAGCTGTGGAGGGGGAGTCGGGGCTCCCTGGAGCTCCCTGCACGCTGACAATCTCAGGGCTGTGGAGGGAGAGTCGGGGCTCCCTGTCTACCTGGTTTGACTTAACCATTGACTCCAAAGTCCATACTCTCCAGCACATGGTCACCACCCAAGTACAGACTGCACATTCACTGGACACTTTCCACCCTCATGGAGGCCTGGGGAAGAAGTCTGTGCTCTCCCTAAAGGGGTCTGCAGGCCATGTGCAGAGGGCATTGTGGATCCAGAGCACAGGCCTAGCAGGGACATCATGGGTCCTGCAGACCTCCTAAGCTGAGGGACCAAGCTAGAGGTTGAAGCAGGCCCGCTAAGACCCAAGAGACTCTTTTCTTGCCAGGTCAGAGCTCAGCCCTAGGGCATGGCTCAGCAGGTGCTCAGTAGGTGCTCAGCAAGTGCTTAGCAGATGTGCCGTTAGTTTTCTGTCAACTTGCCACCAGCTCAGGTCGTCTGGGAAGAAGGAACCACAACTGAGAAAAATGCCTGGATCTGACTGGTCTGTGTGGCATTTTCTTGATTAATGAGGGGTGGGGGACGGCCCAACTCACTGTGGGCAGTGCCACTCCTGGAGAGGTTAATCCTGGCTGTATAAGGAAGCAGGCTGAGCATCAGAGTGAGCTGGTAAGCAGCACCCCTCCATGGCCTCTGTTTCAGCTCCTGCCTGACTTCCCTGAGTGATGAACTACAAGCCTTTAAGCCAAATGAACCCTTTCCTCTCCAAGCTGCTTTGGGTCAAGATATTACAGCAACAGAAAAGCAAAGGAGGACTGTATGCCACACAAGCGTGATGACCTGAGTTCGAATCCCTGGCACCTATGCAAAAGCCAGGTGTGCCAGCATGGATCTGTAAGCCTAGCGGGGTGGAGACAGTCTGTGGTGGGTCCCTGGGGCTTAGTGTCCAGTCTAGCTGAATAACATGGAGGACTAGGCCAACCTCAGCCTCCACCTACCACTTATATGTGTACACATGTCCAGGTGCACTCCTGTGCACATGTGTACACACACGTACACACATACACAGAAAGGGAGGAAGGGAGAGGGATAGAGATATATAAAATAAAAGAGGCTTCTTCATAGCTCAGCACTATGCTAAAGCAGGACTCACCGTCCAGCACACTCCAGGCAATGATGGAGCGGTCCTTCATGCCTGCAAACACGTACTTGTCGTCCTTCGAGAAGCAGGCACACTGCACCCCTCTGCAGTAGGAGCTCTGTGGAGACAGACCGTATGACAAGCTTAGCGTGAGAAATGTCCCCTGCTCACATGGTTGTTGTTGTTCACTTGTATTGAATTTGTTTGTGGGGGTGGGGGGCTGCATGTCACAGTGCCGTATGCAGTCAGAGGATAACTTGCAGGAGATGGTTCTCGACTTACACCATGCGGTTAGTGGGGACAGAACTCAGGTCATCGAGCTTGGCTACAAGCACCTTTTCCAGCTGAGCCCTGGATCGCCTGCCTGGGATTATGTGTTTTAACCCTTGGTCCACAGCTGGTGTTGGGAAAGTTGAAGACCTTTCTCAGGTTTGCCTCCCTAGAGGACGCGGGTCACTGTGGTTCTGGTTTGTGGGCTTATAGCCCAGTGCACATCCTGTTCATTCTCAGCTTCCTGTTCCACCAAGATGTGGAGTCCCAGCTTCACACCCCTGCCACCATAGAGCCATCTGGTGCTATGCCTTCCCTCCAGCTTAGGTTGTGTCCCCTACAACAGGGAGCCCGGATGGCTCTTCCCCCTTCAGTTGCTTCTGGTCAGTGATCTGGTAACAAAATAACTAGTGTACCCCATGATGCCATTTCCAGCCGCAATCAGACCAGTCCTTCACCCGGCCAGTGTCCCAAACCCAGCTCTCCACAGGAGGCAGAGCAGAGCAAACCCCACAGAGACGGACTTTCCAAGGAGCAAGGTCTGTCTTCAGAGGCGAGAGCTTCAGGGTGCAATGCATGCGCAGGTGTGTGTGTGCAGGCCGCAGCTCTAGAGCTCCTGCAGCACAGCACAGGTGCAATGCACCTGTGGGTGGCTGGGCACGCATCTGGGGGTTAGCGGACACCTCGTTAGGAATGCCTTCCTCCTCAACTGTTGGGCAAGTATGAGGACCTGCAATGATGCCCTAGTTCTCATGTTTAAAAAAAAAAAGCAGGCATGGTGGCCCACACTTGCAATCCCAGCTTTAGGGAATTGTGGATAGAAGCACCCTGCCCACTGCAGCCTAATGGGAGGGCCCCCCAAAACAAGGTGAGGAATGACACACAGGTGGACCTCTATCCATCACACACAAAGATGTATGCTCACAGCTAGAAACAGTGTAAACACAAAATAAGAAAGGAGCACAGGAGGGAAGAGGAAAGGGCACAACATGGATGTCAGTGGGCCGGGCCACCCACCTCATAGCTCATCTCGAACATCCCCCTGCAAGCTTGCAGGTCCCAGAGGCAGAGCAGCGCATCCTCCGCCCCGCTCACGGCCAGCTGCTCCCCGTGGCTGACCGCCACGCAGCTCACCCTGCTCCCGTGGGCCTCCAGCGGGAAGACTTTGGAGCTTGCACAGTTGTACAGGAAGAGGCCGCCATCAGTCATGCCGTAGAGAACACGGTAGTCGGCCAGCGCGGCCACACTTGCTATGGTCTCCGGCAGCTGGGTGTAAAAGGTGTAGGTGGGGCCCTCGATGGTGGGACATGGGTCCCCGGGGCTGATGTCCAGCACCAGGACGATGTTGTCATAGGCGATGGCCAGCCGGTCCTCACTCTTGCTCAGGGACATGCAGTTGACAGCCTTGCGGGCCTCGGGTGGGGGGATACACAGCACATCTTGCCTGGAATTCAGGGGGAACACAAGCACAATCCCCGAAACCAGGCCTGTGAAGAGGAGCTTGGCCTGCTCGGCCACCTCCAGACACCGGACCTCATTGGACGTGTCCAGGGAATCCTGTTCCTCACCTGCTCAGGGAGAAGAGAGTCAGGGATGGATCGTCTGGTTTTCTTAAGCTTTTAAAAAATTACAATTATTTTATATGTGTGTCCTTCCCACCATATGGGTCCTGGGGCTCGAACTCACATTTTCAGGCTTACCTCGTGGGCGTTTAGCTGGCCTTAGCTTTCTCATTTTCTGACCCTAAGTTTCAGTTTGGATGGTTTTCTGACTGAGCCTGGAGCCGCAAATGAACCCTGCACCTATAGACGTGCTCAGTAAGCCCTGAGGCAAAAATGGAAGCCAGGGCCTAACGCATGCTCAGTAGGGACTGGGAAGAAATGGCATCTGAAGCTAGGGGGCGGGGCTGTGCGCGGCAGCGGGGAGGGCAGAACCTGGGTTTGCACGTGCTCCATGATACACTACACTGTCTACCTGGCCCTGCTGTGCCCTGGGGAATAGCACTGGGGCAGCCTTCTCCAGCACCCGCCCCCGCCACGGCTAGACTGGCCTCTGGGTTAAATTCAGAGCGGTGTCATGAAGTTCTTTCTTCCATATTGAAACATTCCCTTCTGATAGGAGAGGGAGGTGCCCCAGGCTGTGAGCTGTCTGCAAAGGGTGCACAGAGCTCCACACCTGTAGCTTTCACGAGTGTCTGGGCGCTGTGTGGGAACACGAATAACACAGCAGGCTCTCCCCCTGCACCCCTCCTCCAGCGCGCACCCGCATTCCTGTAACTCCAGCAGACTCCCGGTTCTCCCAGCACGGCTTTGTCAGAGGTGATTGCCGTATCTGGGGTGCACAGAGATAGACGCCTAGGGGAAGTCTAGCAACATGGGACCTCCATAACCACCTAGGCTGATCTCCAGCTCTTCGGTTTCCTGTCTCAGCCTTCCTGGTTTGGGATTACAACCAGGTGTAGGACCAGCCTGACTGGAATCTACTCTAATTAAATGAAAATTGCATCACCTCATAGTCCTGCTTAACCCTCCCAGGGGTGTCCTACAACCCTCGGGACACAGTGCACCTGTCCCCACTCCCCTTCACACCCTGGTAATTATAGGCTGAATGTTTGAGCCCTCACACTATGCCAAATTCAGTGTCCATCTGGGGACTGGAGAGATGGTTCAGTGGTTAAGAGCACCTGCTCCTCTTGCAGGTATCTAGGTTCACTTCCCAGCACCCATGTGGCAGCTCAGAAGCTCCAGCTGCAGGGACTCTGATGCCCTCTTCTGACTTCATGGGCACCAGGCACATGTGGTGCATATACATACTTGCAGATAAAACTCAAACCACTATATATATATATATATATATATATATATATATGAAATTCCATCTTCATGATGGTTTTGGGAGGTGCAGGCTTGGGAGTTGATTAGATTTCTGGGGTGAATCCCTCAGAAGAGGGGTAGTGCCTTATTTAAAGAAAAACCAAAGATGAGAGCATTGCCTTATTGGGTCAATCCTGCACAGTCATAGCAAACGCATCTGTGAACCAGAAGTGCACAGCCCTCGGCCCCTCCAGCACCTCTAGCCTTGTCATGCATGTCTGTGCGTCTCTGTGTCCATGTTCATGTGTGCACATCAAGGTTGAGTGCCGTTTATTCACATGCTCTTCAACCTCTTTGCACATGTGTATGTGGCGTGTGCATGTTCACATGAGCACAGCTGCAGGTGCATGCATGTCCACGTGCGTGTGGAGGCATGTGTAGGTGAAGGCGTGTGTGTAGGACAAGACTGAGGCCAGCAGTCTCCTTCAGTTGCTTTCCATCCATCCATTCACTGAGGCAGGATTGAACCTAGAGCCAGCTTGCTCTGGGGACCTGCCTTCCAGCTGCTGGAATTAGAACCCAGCACTCATATGGGGGGGGGGGGATCCAAACTTAGGTCTGAATGCTTGCACCGCAAGTGCTTCGCCTACTGAGTCATCCTCCAGTCCCCTTTGTTTACTTTATGAGCCAGAGTTTGTGGTTTTATCTTAAACTCCTGTCCTTTTAGCTTTTACTACCAACCATGGCCAGCACACATGGTTTCTGTGGTGTTGGGGACAGAGCTTGGGGCTTCCCGTATGCCAGAAAAACACTGCACAACTAAGCTACAAGCACTCTACCAACGGAGACAAATCCTGGCCTCATCTTGGACTTCCGCCTGGAAGAGTAAGTCCAGAACTCACCACACAGATGCTAGTCATCTCTCACACACCTTCTGCCAAATCCCAAATCGTGACTTTGTTTTTGTCCCCGACCTTGGGGAAGTAGACGTAGCTGCCGTGATGGGACACCGCAGCTAGGCCCGTGCGGTCCAGAAACGGAGCAGGAGGCCTTGGCTTCTGAGTGGACCCGAGATCCCAGATTTTCACAGACGAAGACTTTGAGGAAGCAGACGCTACCAGAATCCCGCCCCGGACCAGCAGGCTTGCAGGGGCTCCCACGCCCTCCAGGACGTCCAGCAGGGTCCCCTGTTCTGACAGACTCCACACCTGAGGAAGAGAACAGAAGAATGGGTCTGCCCAGGGACATGCTTCGGCTGTGCACCTGCCTCTGCTGAACGTGGAGGCTTTGGCTCCAGAGTCGTCACCCATCCTGGCTGCTGAAGACTTTCCAGGGCCCCAGCATTCTCATAGTATGCCCTGGGGACCCCAGGAGACACCATGCGGGCCTCTCTGGTCTGCAGCAGTGAACTATCTTCAGAGTAATCCTACAGCATGGCCTGTCCTCCTGGGTAAGCGGCAGAATTCTGCAAGAGCTGAATGAGTGAGATCGTAGGATACATGCATATGTGCACATGTGCAGATGTGTGTGTGCGCGTGTGTGTGTGCATGTGTGTGCGTGTGTGTGCATGTGTGGTGTTTTAGGAAGCCACCATGTGATCTGAGGAGATGGCTCAACTGTTATGAATACCCAGTGCTCTTGCAGAAGATCCCGGTTCAATGCCCAGCACCTACATGGCAACTCATAGCCATCTGTAACTTCAGCTCCAGAGGATCCAAACTCTACTGTCTCCGAGGGCACCGGGCACGCACATGGTACAAGATGCTCATACACATAAAATAACAAGAACAGTGATAAAACTATGGCATCATGTGAACACATCCTGGTGAATTCATGGCTGTGTGTTCTTGAATTGCCCCCCTTTTTCTATTTGAGACAAGGTCTCACATTGCCCAGACCAGCCATCAACTTTCCATGTAGCTGAGACAGGCTGGGCTTCATCTCCTCACTCGAGTGTGGTTTCCTAAGGGCTCAAGGATGGGAGGCTCGGTCTTGGGGGTGGTGGGGTGGCATGAGAGGTGATGGGACTTAAGAGGTGGAGCCTAGTGGGAGGCGATGCGGTCCTTGGACGTAACTAAGTAGCTGGCTGTGGTTGTGCACATCTGTAAATCGAAGAAGGCAGAAGGTGGGAAAGCAAAACTCCAGGATCATCCTTGGCTCCATATCCAGTTCAAGGGTAACCTGAGCTAGAGACCCTGTCTCCAAAATGAGGGGAGGGGAAGCAGTTGTTACAGAACTCAAATGGGACTTTTATGCAGGCAGGTCTGGCCTCCCATCCCTAATTGTGATCGCCCCTCACACAGGTTCACACTGTTTGCACAGATGTGCTATGGACAAGGAAGGCTCATCAGAACTGGTGACATTCTCTGCAGTTAGTCAACTTCTGAATACCGTGAGCTAGGCAGACCTTTTTTATATATAGTTCCCAGCCCCAGGTATTTTCTTACGGTAACAGAAAATGCATCCCTGACATTGGCATATATGTATACTGCCTATAATAAATAAATATGTGTTTCTACATAAATAAATTCTATTGGGTCCTCAAGAACCTCTAAGATTGTAGAGAGGTCATAAGACCAAGATGTTGGAAAACTCAAAGTCCCTACCTTGCCAGTCTCGCCTGTGCTGGCTGCTGAGAATTTTTCTCTCCTGTGGCCCTGAAGAACACTATCTTGAATGCTAAGGTCAGACAGGGAATGCTGCCTGCTTTGGGGAACATTCCAAGTCTGAGCACAAAATACCAGCACCCCACACCATCCCACTAAACACCTCTGTCTAGGTCTGAGCTCATCTGTTTTCTGTGTATATGAACTTAGCAGGCATTGGGGATCCGATGCTCTGAGGTCAGGGTCCTGGGTCCGCCCTCACCTGGATGAGTGCATCCCGGGAGCCTGTGATGATCATGTTGTTCTCAGGACCCACAGCTGCTGTCTCTACCATGTCCTCATGTTCCAGATCCGTGGCCATGAACCGGTGGAAGCCCTGAGAGTCGGCTAAGAAAATCCGCACACATCTTCCGAAGCCTGTGTAGCAGAGCCCAGTCAGACCCCTGAGCCTGGTGGAGCTGTTACCCAACCCATGGAGTCTTCTCCGAGCACCTACGGTGTCCCAGGGGAAGGCTGTCCCGAGGCCAGAGGGGGCATGGCCCCACCCTGAACAGCAGATGTGTGTTGGAGGTGACAGTCAAGGAGCTGTCGAGAAACTAGTGAAGTTCTCTATTGTCAGGACACACTGAGTTTCCTCAGATCCCAGACCATGGGAGGCATTTGTCCCTGGAGCCACCACATCATTTACTTTCCTTGCATCAAAAAGGTTGTTCTGTTCTATTCTATTCTTTGTTGTATGTGTGTGTGCACGTGTGTACGATTACACACGATTCGCTATGGTGCACACATGAGGAAAGGAGGCCAGAGGACACTCGAGGAAGTCGGATCTGTCCTACCATGTGCGTTCCAGGGACCAAACTCAGGCCAGCAGGTCTGGCAGCTACCACCTTTATCCACTGGACTCTCACGGACCCCACTTTCCCCGTCCTCAGTGCGTGTGCACGTGCATCCCTGTCTATGCACTTTCAGAGGACACAGAAGGCCACTGGGCTCTTCTCAATCGCTGCCCACTATCTCGCTGTGCCTGGAACTTGGCCAGAAGCCAGCAAGTCCGGCTGGCCTCCTGCCTCCACTCCCCACAGCACTGGAGTTGCACACATGCACTATCCCCCAGTGTTTCCATGCTGGGGACATGAACACTCCTGTTCATGCTTGCACAGCAGATGTTCTGACCCAACGAACCATCTACTCAGCCCTCGTTCACCCATGTATGCATAAGGACACCAACGGTGTGGGCTCCAAGGCTGTCATGGGCCAGCAGAGTCAGCACACGCATACCACTGAGGATAGTTGCTACAACTGCAAACACACACATGCGCGCACATGCACATATGCACACATGCATGCACACACATGCACGCACGCACACGCATGCATGTACATGCACAGCAGTGACACCATGTGAAGGCTTCACTGTGGGATTCCCCAATGCGTGCCTCAGGCTCATCCTCCCTGAACTCCCAGACCAAGCTGAGCCAGCTGGAAACCTGAGGTTGATTTTAAGTTGTAGCTCAGGCTGGCTTCAACTCACTATGTAGCTAAGGATGATTCTGAACTCCCAATCTTCCTACCTCTACCTTCCAAGTGCTGGGATGACAGGAAGGTATCACTATGCCTAGTTTGTGTGGTGCTGGGAATGGAAGCCAGGACCTTAGGCTTGCTAGGCAAGCACTCCACCCACTGAGCCACGAGCTCTCTACTGACCAAGCCACACTCTACCCGCTGAGCCACGAGCTCCCTGAGCTATGAGTACTATATCAACTGAGTCCAAACATTCTAGCCGTGGAGCCCCAGTCTTAGCTCCAAGTCTGTCTCTTGCCTCTCCACACCCTCTGTGGAGTTCTTTGTATTCTAGGGTCCTTGAATGCTGCCCCCCAGGAGAAAATGTTCCAGGATTCTAACTGATGAAGCACACCATGATGTTTTCTGCACTTGTGGACTAATCTTGGACACTAAATAAACGACTCTTTGGGGCCAGGGCGATGGCTCAGCAGTTAAAGGTGCTTGCCACCAAACCTAGTAATCTGGGTTCCATCCCGGGACTCACATGGTAGAGGAAGGGAACGGACTCCCTGAAGTTGTACTCTGAACTCACAAGCACCACTCTACACACACACACACACACACACGTCAACCAGTCAGCACCATAGGGCACACCATAGGGCCTAAGCCCTGTGCCCACACTCTGTCGCCCTGGCCTGGTTCTGGGGACAAGGCCTCTCAACCCATGGAGCTTCCTTCCTGATAACCATGTTCTTTCTTTATCTCTGTGTTTTTCAAAGTAACAAAGTGAGTTCCTGGGGGAGTTTTGGACAGGCATCTTAGGAGGGGCTGGAGACCAAGGTCAGCCTCTTGGGCTGTCAACAATGCCAGTGTGTCCAGCTCCTGGCAAATTTACTATCAGGGCTTGGGGGTACACCACACACTGTGCCTCATGTCACAAGTCTCCTGGCACCACTGGGGGACACTGCCTATGCTCTTTCCTTTGCAGATTATGCGTGTGTATGTATGTGGGACCCCCCTCACACATGTGTGCATGTGTTGTTACATGCACCTATTCCAAGGTCAGAGGTTGCTGTCAATGTTGTCATCAATTGCTTTTGAGGGAGCTTGGCATCTTGGCTAGGACACTGAACTCCCAGCATCTGCCCGCGGCTACAGATGGCTGTCTCCGTGCCCAGCTGGTGTATGTGCTGGAAATCCAAATTCAATGCCTTGTACTTGTCCATCGAGCACTTTACCCACAGAACCACTTATGGGCCCACCTCACGTTTTGAGACAAGGTCTCTCTCAGGCCTAGGGCCCACGGTTGGCTAGGCGGACTGACCTGGAGGCCCTGGGATCGTCCTGCTAGAGTCACAGGAGTGGACAGAGGAGGGACAGCTGCTGCTTTCTCCAAACTCTTGGGGACAGCACCCCACAATTCTGCTCATGAAACAATAACTTTTGAAAAACTGCAGATGTGACCCAAGTCAGGGTCAGACAGTTCCAACTGCAGTGGCTGGTTCCTTCAGGCTGAGAATGGAGAAGCCAGTCAGAGCCCTCCCTCCCTGGCTTCTGGACACACCATCTCCCAAACCAGCTAGGCACGCTCTGAGTGTTCCCATGCCGGGGCCTGGATCAGTCTGGCTCATGGGTCACCTCCTTCCTTGTCAAGATGGGTCCATGTCACAGGCAGGCAGGCCTGACGGCTCTCAGAGGGCCGCTTGGAACCCACGGCTGTCCCTCTCCTTTCTCTGCGCCAGTGTGTTTTGCGGTGCACGTGTGTGTGCCACATGAGCCTGCCTCTGAGAGCTGAGCCCGTAGAGGGCAGGGGGGCTTTGGGGCCCTTGGGACTGAAGTTACACAAGGGTGGGCACTGCCTGTCCTTGGATGTGCTGGGAACCAGACCTGGGGCCTCTGGAGGAGCGGCTCGTGTCTTAACTGGTATTCTGAAAACTTGGTACAATAACAGAGAAATCACTCATTCATAATATTTATATTGATTTTAATGTTAAATATTTGGGCATATTAAGTAAAATAATCTGTGTGATTAATATGGGTTGATTTAAAACAAATTGAATATTCACTCAAATTTATTAACTATTATATTAATATTAATATATTAACCATATATTAATTTAAATAATCACAATTGATTAAAAGCTTTTTACTGGGACTAGAGCATGGTTTAATACTTAGTGGAACTTGCTGCTCTTGCAGAGGACTTAGGTCCAGTTCCCATCACCCAGATGGTGGCTCACAACTATCTGTCAGTCCATTTCCAGGGGTTCTGTTGCATATTGCCTCATTGGGTACCCACACCTATCACACATACAACTAAAGATAATAAAAACATTTAAAATCTCAAGAGGTGATTACAGGTGTGTATGACGCATGGTGGTTAAAGATTTGTGTAATGTAGAGGGGTACGTGTGTAAGGTATATGGTGGGACACATGCTTCTATGTTACAGGTGTGTGGTGGGCACAGTACAGGTCTGTGTGTTGTATGTAGGTGGAGGCATGCATGGTGGATACAGCATACGATGGGTGACAGAACCCTTAGAATCCCCTCACTCATGGGAACGTGAGCAGAGCTAATGGCTTCTTGCTGAGTGGAATGATCAGACATGGAGACAGACGGGGCTCACTCTCACTCACATGGGGAAGCTAAAAGTCTTGACTTCAAAGTAGACAGAACACTACACAATGATTCAGTGGGAAAAGGCTCCTGCTGATTGGCCCAACGACATAAGTTCAAATGCCAGGACTGGAAGGAGAGAGCCCACTGGTACATATCCTCCTTTGCCCTCACATCTGCATACACACGCACGCTCACATACACAACACACACACACACTACACAAAAGCACACACATGCACTCAGACACATGCATACACTAGCATGCACACATACATACACACATACCCACATGCGTATACACGTGCACACACACGTACATGTATTGAATGCATGTACATACACACATGCACACATACATGCATACATGTGCGAGGACACACACATATATACACAAAATGTAACAATATTTTATAAAACGAGGAAGTAGAGAGATAATGGTGGGCACAGTTGGGAAGGAAGAAGGGTATGGGGAGACACGGGAGAAGTACCAGTGCCTCATTCTACCTGGGAGCCAGGCACCCAGCCTCCAGCCAGATTTTACTTCCCTTCTCTACACTCAACGAGAGGCGAAAGCTACCTGCTGCAAGAACGGAATCATCTTCAGACACCACCAGGAATCCCACAGCTTCTGGAAGCTTCTCCAGCAACCTGTCTTCTCCTGAGGAAACCTGCACAGTGGAACATGAGAGTCAAGCTTCTGAACCGGGATGCGACTCACCCCACCCCAAGCTGGCTCTGTCACACTGAAGAGTTCCTTAGCCCCCCAGTGCCTCAGTTTCCCTATTGGACAAAAGGTAACCTCAGGCCACACTCTCCAGGATGAAGGGCTAGAGTGTGTAGAAACCGTTTCCCAGTGTGTGACCTTAGCACAGTAACCGCTGTGATGATGTGGTTGCTGCTGCGCAGGCATGGGGAACCTACTGGACTTTTTGGCCCTGAAGGAACCGTGGAGCTCAATGAGATAGAAATGTGTTTGGAATAAATGAGGCAGAGTGACCCATGTCTGTCATTCCAGCCTGGAGGAGAAGGAGGCAGGACTGCACAGAGTTCAAGCCAGCCTGGACTATACAAGGCCATCTCAAAACCAGCTGACTGATGTGATGTGGCCTGCACCTGCTGTTAAGACTCAGATCTCCCAGCCGTGAGGAAACTTTTTTTTTTTTCTATCCTGCTCAGTCCCTGGACAGGGCCTCAATGTGTAGCTCTGGCTATCCTGAAATTCTCTCTGTAGACCTTGAATTCACAGAGATTTGCTTACCTCTGCTTCCCTAGTGCTGGGATTAAAGGTGTGCACCACTATGTACTTTCTTTTCTTTTCCTTTTCCTTTTTTTTTTTTTTTTTTTTTTTTTTGGATTTTTGAGGCAGGTTTTCTCTGTAGCTTTGGAGCCTGTCCTGGAATTAGCTCTTGTAGACAAGGCTGGCTCGAACTCACAGAGATCCACCTGCCTCTGCCTCCCGAGTGCTGGGATTAAAGGTGTGCGCCACCACCGCCCGGTCTCGTTCTTTCTTTTTAAAAATTATTTCTATTTATCTTGAGACATGGTCTCACTGTGTAGTCCTGGCTGTGGAACTCACTATGTAGACCAGGCTGGCTTTGAACTCACAGAGATCTCCAGTTGTTAGGACAGCAGACATTGCTGCTACATTAGCTCCTTGTATAACCTCTGTTGTCCTCCCATCCACGCCCACTCTTTAGATGCAACTGCGTGCCTGTGTGTGTTCACCTCCCCACACCGAGAATGCTGGCCTGGGCTCTAACAGAGGGAAGCAGGATTTATCTTGGATTCCAGTTCCAGGTCACACCCCTTCATAGAGAGGAAGGCCTGGCCGCCCTGGATAGTGTCTGAGCTTCCTGAGGGATCAGGAAGCAGGAAGCGCCAGCCAGAACTGGAAGAAGCTGACTCTTTCCAGCCCACTCCCAGTGACAGGCTTGTAGCTAGCTGTGCCCCACGTGCAAAAGGTCCCACTAACTTGCAATGCGGCACCAACAGCTAGGGACCAAGTTTTTAAACACATGAGCCCATGAGGGACAGATGGACATCTGCTGCAGCCTGGAGCAGGGACTTGCCCAAGCTCTGTGGGGACAGCTCTGTTGAGGGACAGCTCTGCTGAGGGACAGATGTGCTGAGGGACAGCTCTGTGGGGACGGCTCACAGAGCCTTCAATGTTAGGATTAGGGTTTTGCTGTTGCTTTTGTTCTGTTTTATAAGAGTTTTGCTTATATCCAGGAATGGTGGTGCACACCTTTAATCCAAGCACTGGGGAGGAAAAGACAGGCTAATCTCTGTGAGTTTGAGGCCTGCCTGGTCTACAAAGTGAGTTCCAGGACAACCAGGGCTACACAGAAAAATCAGTCTTGAAAAACCAGGCACAGATGCATGCAGAGGCCAGAAGAGGGCGCTGGAGCCACTGGTTCTGGGTTTAGAGGTGGTGATCTAGCCAGTGTAGATCTAGGAATTGAACTGGGCCTCTGCAAAAGCAGCCAGTGCTCTTAACCGTACAGCCAGGTCTCCAACCCTTGTGACAACTTTAACAGCATGTTGACACCGTGAAAAACCCAGGGAGGAGCATCAGTAAGGGATTATCAGGATTGGGAAGTCTGAAGCAGCTGAGGCAGCTGTCTTCATCATGTTACCAGCTGTGTGAAGACTCAACCTTGTTAGGGGCTGGGCTCTGGCCTGGGTGAAGAGAGGGAGCCTAGAACTGGCACCCAAGCCTCTGTGCTCCTTGATCAGACTGTGGATGGAGTCACCATCTTGACTCATACTGTAACCTGGAACCGAGAGCTGATTAAGCCTATTTCTCCCCAAGTTGTTCTTGTCAGAGTTTCAGCACAGCAACAGGAATGGGAACCCAACAGCCAAAAAAGGTAAAAGGCACCATTGTTCCTCCCAAGTTCCAGGACATCTGTGCACTACCTGGGGTGTGCACAGAGGTCAGAGGTCAACCTCAGTGTCTCTCCTCTACCACTCCACCTTATTTTTTAAATTATTTTATTTCATGTGTACGGGTGCATGTCTACATGTGTCTACATGTACCACATGCATGCTCACAGAGGTCGAGGGGGACGTCAGACACCCTGGAACTGGAGTTACAGACAGGTATTGGCCAACATGTGTGTGCTAGGAATTGAACCTGGGTTCTCTGCAAGAGCAGTCAGTGCTCTTTTTCTAAAAATAATTTATTTTTCTTTCAAGTACATTTGTATTTTGCCTGTACATATATCCTGTGTAAAGGTGTTGGATCCTCTGAAACTGGATTTACAAACAGGTGTGAGCTGCCATGTGGGTGCTGGGAACTGAACCCGGGTCCTCTGGAAGAGCAGCTGGTGCTCTTAACTGCTGAGCCATCTCTCCAGCCCCTCCACTTTATTCCTTGAGGTGGGATCTTTTGTTGAACCTGGAACTCACAGATTCCACCAGATTGCCTGACCCAGGTGCCCTATGGATTCTCCTGACTCTGCCTCCCCAGGGCAGGAACACACATTTGGGGCCCACATCTGGCTTTATGTGGGTGCTGAATATCTGAGTTCATGTTCTCATGCTTGAGTGGGAAAATCGCTTACCAGGACGATGGAGCCACTGCTGAAGCCAGTGACCAGCTTTGCCCGTGTCTGGATAGAGACGGCACAGGTGGGTGTCTCCTCTTTGATGCTGGAAAGCTGGTGTTTCTCCTGCAGCTTTCCCGTGGCTGAGTCCCACAGACTGACTTGACCGCCCTTGGACACAGAGAGCAGCACACCCCGAGTGGCCAGCACCGCCACGCAGGCCCAGGGGTCAGACGCATATCCTGGGATACAGAAAACCAGCTTTGCGGTTTCCAGATTCCACACGCTGATCTAGTGGAGCCGTGAAAAGCAAGAGAAACATCAGCATCAGTGGGAGACATAGGCTGGGACCCAGACTCACATAAAGCGGGTATGGTGTGTGTTATCCCAACACATGGGGAGCTGAGGCAGGAGGATCAGTGTCACCTTAACTACATGAGGAGCTTAAGGTCAGTCTGAGCAGCGAGAGAGGCAATCTCTAAAAACAAAACAAAAACAAGCAAACAAAAAGAATAAATTTTTAAAAATTAGAAGGAAGATTCCCAAGCAAGATAAGAATAATGGGTTAATGTAAGTTATAAGAGCTAATACGAAGCCTGAGCTAATGGGCCAATCAGTTTTATCATTAATATAGACTCTGTGTGATTTTCTTTGGGGTCTTACCAGCTGTGGGAACTGGGCAGGACAGAAACCCCAACGAGCAGGCCCTCATGTTACAGGACAAGGTGTCAGTTCCAGCTGACAGGAGTCAAGACTGTTCTCATCTGCTATAAGTGTGCCCTTGTTGTAAAATATGGGTCACGGAGCCTATGAGATGGTTTACCAAGTGGAGGGGCTTGTAGTTAAGTCTGATGACCGGAGTTCAAGCCCTGGGACCCACAGGGTAGAGGAGAGAACCAACTCCCCTGGTTTTTCCTCTGACCTCCACATGGGCCACACATGCACACATACCGTAAATAAATGTTAAAATATTGATGTCAAGCCAGGCGGCACACGCACGCCTTTAATTCGGGAGGCAGAGGCAGGCGGATCTCTGGGAGTTCAAGGCCAGCCTGGTCTACAAGAGCTAGTTCCAGGACAGGCACCAAAGCTACAGAGAAACCCTGTCTCGAAAAACAAAACAAAACAAAACAAAAGATATTGATGTCTGCTGGGCCATGGTGGCGCACGCCTTTAATCCCAGCACTTGGGGGGGTAGATCTCTGTGAGTTCAAGACCAGCCTGGTCTACAGAGTGAGTTCCAGCTACAGAGTGAGTTCCAGGAGCCAGGGCTACACAGAGAAATCCTTTCTCAAAAAAACCAAAAAGTAAAATAAAGAAAAAAAATATTGTTGTTAAAGCCAGCTTTCACACTTTGGAAGCCGAGGCAGGAGAGCTGCCACAAGTTTGAGGCTGTACAGCAAGATCCTGTCTCAAAAAACAAATGAAAAGATGCTGAGGTCTGGAAGACAGCCAGCAGGCACAGAGCTTGCTGGCCAAGCCTGGGACTGGATTTCAGGCCCCAGCACCTATGGAAAGGCCAGGCAGGTGCAGCTGCTGCTGTCACCCAGCCCTTGGGAGGCAGAATCAGAGGACCACAGAGAAAGCTGGCTATGCAGACAAATCAATACACTCCACATTCAACAGGAACCTTTCGGAGTGAACAAGGCGGACCCTGGAACTGGAGCTCACTGATTAAGCTGTCCCTGAGATCCCAGGACCCACTTGTCAGGTCTGCCAGTCTGCTCCTCGGCCCTGACTTATGGATCACCCCCCCACACACATTCAGATGGCACGTGGTGCTGAGAATCTGCTCAGAGCTCGCCAGGCACGTACCAGCATCATCCTCTGAGCCATCTCCTCAGCCTGTCTTTGTGGGAGGCTCTTGCAGCCCAAGCTGGCCTTGAACTTGTTACACACCCAATGGTGGCCTTGGTCTCAAGCCCTGGAGGCCCGCACAGTCAGCCCACAACTGACTGTGTATCTCCATTACCTCCCTGTCAGTTGGCAGGGCTATGAATGCCAGGACGGACACACTGGGAGACATGGGTTCTAGATGTGTCTGGAACTAAGTGAGATTATAAAGCAGGACTCAGTGGGTAAGAGCACAGGCTGCTTGTCCAGAAGCTCTGAGTCCGGTTCCCAGCACCCAAAGGACAGACAGTTCACAACTATCTGGAACTCCAGTCCCAGAGGGTCCGACACCCTCTTCTGGCCTCCGTGACTGCGCTTGCATACTGCACAGACACACATGCAGGCCAAAGAGCCCTAGACATAAAATAAAAAACCAAAGTACTCAGACACAAATATCACATGTCAGCATAAACCAGCATCAAAGAAGAAAGCAAAAGGAAAATTCTGGAGTCCAGAGAAATGGCTCAGTGGGTAGAGCACTTGCCGTGTAAGGAAGAGGACCCGAGCTTGAATCTGTGAAGCCTACACACAGCAGGCACAGTGTGTGTGTGTGTGTGTGTGTGTGTGTGTGTGTGTGTAGTCCCTTTGCTCCTGAGGGAGGTGGAGAGCTAATCTCTGAGATTCTCACAGGCCAGCCAGCCTGGAGCTCACGGCAGCAGCTGCAGAGATTTCACCCTCAAACCCGAAGGACAGCAAGAACTGATGCCCAAGTTGTTCTCTGGCTTCAGGGTGCGCACCACAGCATGTGTGCCCACACACACCCACACACCTTCACACGCCACCCCCGCACCATTATCTCATGACATCCTGTGCCGGTGGGGGACCGAATTCCCGTCATCAGACTTGGTGGCAAGCCTGTGGCGGCGTCCTGCCAGGCCGCTCACCTCGTTCATCTGCTGGGCTGTGCTGGTGGCCAGCAAGCTCCAGGCTGTCGCAGCACAGGTTACCGGTGTGCCCCCCACTTGGCTGTACTTGAGTGCTGGGTTCCAACTCGGGTCCCCATACTTCTATGGTGCTTTACCCAGGACCTACGCTCTTACAGAGGCCAAACAAGATGGCCCGGGGCATTCAGCAATTCTCCTGCCTCTGCTTCCCAAGTTCTGGGTTTCTAGCTGTGTACCGCCACTACTGCTCTCTCTCTCTCTCTCTCTCTCTCTCTCTCTCTCTCTCTCTCTCTCCACACACACACACACACACACACCTCAGTTTGTTACCTTTGCACTAGATGTCAAGTATACGACTTTGTTCATCTCATCCACATGGAGCTCCCAGCTCTGAGGCTCTATGGAAGTTGGTGAGCCTCTGTCCAAAATGGTGAGTTTCTCCTGACCAGAGAGCAGGCTCCACAGGCGCAGGGTGTGGTCCTTTGATGCAGAGATGGCGAGAGTCCCTAGGGCAAACACTCGAATGCACCTCACCTCAGCTGCGATGGGCACAGTGGGGGAGAGCATGTTAGGGGGACAGTTTGTCCTGGTTTCTACCTCAGGCTAAAAAATCTAAACAACTGCTGGGGCTGGTGGTGGTGCACACCTTTGATCCCAGCACTCCAGAGGCAGAGGCAGGAGGATCTCTGTGAGTTCAAGGCCAGCCTGGTCTACAGAGTGAGTTCCAGGACAGAAACAAAACAACAAAAACCCATCATCTTTGTGTGTGCACATATGATGTTAGGGGAGGGGATGGCAAACATGCCTCTACCATGCAGGTGCATGTGGAGGTCAGAGAACTTTCTAGAGTCTTTCTCTTCAGCCACATTTACATTGGTTCTGGAGATCAAACTCAGGTCACCAGATTTTTGATGTAAGTGCCTTTACCGAGTGAACTATCTTGCCAGCTTGAGCAGCATTTATACCATATTTTAGCATCGTTTAAAAAGAGATTTATTATTATTATTATTATTATTATTATTATTATTATTAGTGGTGGTGGTGGGTTTTCAAAACAGGGTTTCTCTGTGTAGCCCTGGTTGTCCTGGAACTCACTCTATAGACCAGGCTGGCCTTGAATTCACAGAGGTCCTATTACCTCTGTTTCCGGATAGCTAGGACTACAGGCATGCACCATCACTGCATTTGACAACATGACCCATTCCTCTCCTAACGCACACCGTCGACAACGTGACCCACTCTCCTGACGCACACCGCACACTGTTGACAAGGTAATTTTGTAGTTCAAGGCGTCAACAGGCTCAGTCAAGAACACCGTGAGCTAGCCACCTCCCCCATGCGATTATGATGGGGTATCGGTGTTTGTCAGCTGGGCGGGGCCTGAAGAACCCTGCACAGCCTGCCTGAGTTAGCAACCCTCAGAAGAAGTGGCTGGTGAGAATAAAGTGATTGCCAAGTGATTGCCCCTCAAAATGGGTCATGTATATCAGTCCCCCACAAAGCTCAGAGATAGGCTCATTGGGACGGGAAGAGAACAGAGTGTAGGATCTGGAAGCTGCACTGGAGCATTGTGGGTGCCTTTCGGGCCGTGACAGAACTGTCCCTCTCACAAGCTCACAGTTGCTGTGACCCTGAAAAGGTCTGCGCAGGGTAGGGACCATCACCGGCTGTCATAGGGGGTGTGTAGTTGGCCCCTGGAATCTCGTAGGGAGTGGCACTGTTAGGAGGTGTGGTTTTGTTGGAGGAAGTGCGTCACTGTGGCAGTGGACTTGGAGGTTTCCTATGCTCAGGACACTGCCCAGTGTGACTGCTACCCCTTCAGTACCACATCTGCCTGCATTCGGCCATGCTCCCCGCCACAGTGATAATGAACCGAACCTCTGAACTCTAAGCCACCACCTCAGTTAAATGTTTTCCTTTATAAGAGTTGCCATGGTCAGGGATTCTCTTCACAGCAATAAAATCCCTAAGACAGAAGTGGAGGGGGTCACAGGGCCCATTTCCCCCTGAGGATTTTCAGGCAGTTCATGGGGAGGGAGATGTTTACTTCAGTGGAAGAGGCATTTGGGAGGAGCCCATGCTCCTCTGGTCACCGCTTCTGCACCCCAGTGAAGTGCACTGCCCCCACCCACACACAGGAAAGTAGAGATGGGTACTTGGGAAGAGAAGGGGACTGGCAGGAAAGGGAGGTGAATGTGATCCGAAGATTAGATGTCACCCGTTATAGATGTGACACATGAGATGTTACAATGAAACACATCCTTACACAGTTAATAGTTGCTAAAAAACTTTGGTTTAGTTTTATATGAAAGTACCTGGCGCGAGTGGGAAGGAAACAATGGAACACATAACAAACGCACTCAGGAGTTTATTAGAGGGTGTGCACAGGCCTGGGAAGTCAGTGTGCACAGAGAGGGAGGAAGATGGCGCGTCCAGCTTTTAAAAGCTGCCTAGTGCATGCGCACATGGGGTTGACATGTCTATGCCAAAGGCAGATGATGGGAGGGTGGAGGGGGGCTCATACATGTGTGCAAGGGCTTAGCTGAGTCATACGTGGATCACGCAGGGCCCTTTAACATCCCCAGGGGCCATTAGACACTTCTGCCTGAGGGCTTGTCTACACCTGCATGACCCCTTAGAGCCTGGAAGTATCAGCTTTGTGTGGCTGAAATCATTACATTATATACATATATTTTTTTGGTTGTGAGTCTAGCTTTTTAGGTTTTTGTTTATTTGCTTGCTTATTGTGTGTGTGTGTGTGTGTGTGTGTGTGTGTGTGTGTGTGTGTGTGAAATGGTTTCTCAGTAGCTATGGAGCCTGTCCTGGAACTAGCTCTGTAGACCAGGCTGGCCTCGAACTCACAGAGATCTGCCTGCCTCTGCCTCCTGAGTGCTGAAATTAAAGGTGTGCACTATCACCGCCCAGCCCTTTTAGAATTGTGTGTGTGTATATGCAGGTCAGAGGACAACTTCTCCTGGAAGGTTGCTCTCCTTTTACCACATGGGCTGCAGGATTTGAACTCAGTTCACCAGGCATATATCCGAGTATCTTTACCTGCTCAGCCCTCTCACCAGCAGTGCCCCTCCCTGAGACAGTGTTAAGATTTTCATTTATGTGCATGTCTGTCTGTCTGTCTGTCTGTCTTTGTGTCTGCAGGTGCCTGAAGAAGCCAGGAGGTATTGGATATCCTGGAGGTGGAGTTACAGACAGCTGTGAGCCGCCCAACATGGGTGAACGTGTATCCTTGGAAGACTGAGAAGCACTCCTAACCACGGAGCCAATCTTTCTGGCCCCTGCCCTCCATTATATGTTTTTTAATAAAAAGCTTGTTTGCGGCCACTGTGTGTGAGGCAGCGAATTGTTTGTTGCACAGTTCTAGCTGACTGATACAGTCTCCGCATAAGGACATAAGTGGGTGAGGGTGAAGTCACTCTGGGGACAATGTGCAGCCACCCTGCTTCCCACGCATCACCTGTGTGTCCTGTTAGAACGTGGACCACCTGCTGTTCCTCCACATCCCACACTACCATGGAGCCATCTTGGGTGCCCACCACCAGCAGCTTCTCTTCCAGGCTCCATGCTATGGCAGTGACCCCTGCAGACACACAAAGGGACAGAGAGGACCTGGTGATCCCTGAAGACACACAAAGGGGTTGGTGAGGACCTGGTGACCCCTGCAAACACACAAAGGGATGGTGAGGACCTGGTGACCCCTGCAAACACCCAAAGGGGACAGAGAGGACTTGGTGACCCCTGCAGACACACAAAGAGACAGTGAGGACCTGGTGACCCCTACAGACACCCAAAGGGGACAGAGAGGACTTGGTGACCCCTGCAGACACACAAAGAGACAGTGAGGACCTGGTGACCCCTGCAG